ATCTCGGCTCACCGCAACCTCCGCCTCCTGGGTTCAGGCAATTCTCCTGCCTCAGCCTCCTGAGTCGCTGGGATTACAGGCACACGCCACCATGCCCAGCTAATGTTTTGTATTTTTAATAGAGACGGGGTTTCACCATGCTGACCAGGATGGTCTCGATCTCTTGACCTCGTGATCCACCCGCCTCGGCCTCCCAAAGTGCTGGGATTACAGGCTTGAGCCACCGCGCCCGGCCCTTTATTATAGTTTAAATTAACTGCTTATTTTCATTTTTGGTTTTGATTTACAATAGATTTACATTTATCACGTATATTTAATATAAAGGAAAAAAATCAAAGCAATGAAAGGAGGTCAGCAACTACTGAATTTCCTACATGAACAACATTAAGAATTCATATTTCTTCATTATTTCTCCTATTTCCAACTATATCCACTATCCCGTGTTTATCCTTGTCTTTTGCCCAAATCCCTCAAACGATATTTGAAAGAGAAAAAACATCATGTGTTGGGAGTATGTCTATGTGATACTATTAACTATACTTCCTCCCATTATAAATTAATATGAGGACAGAAGAAGAATGTGTCTTAGCCCATTTAGTCAATTTATAAGTATTCAACTAACTCACAAAGTTTCAAAAATTATTACTACAATAGTCTCATTTACAAGATTTGGAAACTGCATTACATTGTCTATTTCTCTTCATATTTTTCATTTTTGCTCACTCTGTTTTTCCCAACAGATGGAGGTTATTTTTATAATGCTTTCCATTAAATTTTTTCCATTGCACTTAGACTAGTATACCATTAGGTGGAATAATCACACATAGCCCTCATTATCCATGTATACTTACATGTTTGTATTAGAAGAACATATAGTATCTGTCAGGTTAAAAACCTGTAGCAGTCAGGTGCAATGGTATGTGCCTATAGTCTCCAGCTACTTGGGAGGCTGAGATGGGAGTATTGCTCAAGCCCAGGAGTTAAAGACTGCAATGTGCTATGATCATGCCTGTAAATTGCCACTGAACTCCAGCCTGGGCAACACAGAAAGACCCTGTCTCTAAAAGAAAAATTAAAAAAAAAAAAAAAAACTTTAAAAAAAACCCTGAGGAGAGACCTGAAGCATGCCAAAATGAATAAATCAAAGTTAAAAATTAATAACCCTATTGAACCTGGGAGGCTGAGGTTGCAGTGAGTCGAGATCGCGCCATTGCATTCCAGTCTGGGCAACAAAAGTGAAATGCCGACTGGTGTGTGCCCTGCAGCGACGAGTAGGTGGAGCTGCCCAGGGATGGGCAGCCCTGGATGCCCCAGCCCTCCGAAATCCAGAGGCTTTATGAACCGCTGGCTGCCCACAGTATCCTGGAGCTGCAAGCAGAGATCCTGCCCCGCCGGCCGCCCACGCCCGAGGCCCAGGGCGAAGAGGAGAGATCCGACGAGGAGCCGGAAGCCAAAGAAGAGGAAGAGGAAAAACCACACATTCCCACGGAATTTGATTTTGATGATGAGCCAGTGACACCGAAGGACTCCCTGATTGACCGGAGACGCGCCCCAGGAAGCTCAGCCCGGATCCAGAAACGGAAGGCCCGCCTGGACAAGGTGCTCTCGGACATGAAGCGACACAAGATGCTGGAGGAGCAGATCCTTCGTACTGGGAGGGACCTCTTCAGCCTGGACTCCGCGGATCCCAGCCCCACCAGCCTCCCACTCCGATCCTCAGGGAGCAGTCTCTTCCCTCAGCAGCGGAAATACTGACTCCTGCTGCTCCTGCCTCTAAGGTACAGCGTCTGTACCTGCTGGGGCCTGGGCCCTCCTTGCCCAGCCCAGACACTGAGAAACTTGGAAAGAATAGAGAAACCCCAAGCTCCCAAACAGCTTGTTGCGGGAAAGAGGGAAAGAGGAAGAGAGAGAAAAACAAGAGATAGAGAGAGAATGTGTGTGTGTGTGAAAGGGGAAGAGAGAGAGAGAGAGAGAGAGAGAGAGAGTGTGTGTGTGTGTGTGTGTGTGTGTGTGTGTGAGAAAGGGGAAGAGAGTGTGTGTGTGTGTGTGTGTGTGCGCGCGCGAGCGCATGTGCGTGTTTTCTATTGAACACCTATTTGGGGGCTGGGACTGAATTTTCTGAGTCTGAAATAAAAGATGCAGAGCTATCATCTCTTAAAAAAAAAAAAAAGAGTGAAATGCTGACCCCCTAAAAAAAAAAAAAAAGAATAATGAATAATATTCAATACTACTTTATGTGGCATCTCTCATTTAAGAAATTAGTTACTAAATTTTTAAAAATCCAATTTTTTTAACACCACCCTCTGTTCAATTACAAACTCTTTAGCTTATCATTTGAGCTCTCTACTTAAATTCATGTAAAACAGTATATGGGAGGTTGCACGAAGTCTAAAAGAAAATTAAGTTCTATTATAAAAGCATCAAAAAAAGTTTCATTGATTCACTGTTTGTGTATTTCAGATTCTCATATATTGGCTTTATCAAAAGTGAGGTACATAAATATTTAAATTTCAAATCAAAACACACTGGGTTTTTGTTAATAATCAAAACAGACATTGCCAGGCTTCTAAATCTCTCTTACACAACTTATGATGAAACTGTTTATAGGTATAGGACCGCTGGATCATAAGGTAAATATATATGAAACTCAAAAGCAAATCAGGTTCTTTCTGATCTACTACTTCTTCATCCACCATATATTTCTTTTGGTCCTCATACTTGTTGTTTCTTGGTCACAAGTTTTGGCTTGTGATCACTGTGAAAAGGCAACAGTCATTAAAAAACTATAACCCGAATTTTCACCCATTTTAGAAGGCATAAGAAAACTTCAAAAAATGAAAACATGACCAAGGAACTGATTTTGGCCAGGTGTGGTGGCTCAAACCTATAATCCTAGAACTTTGGGAGGTCAAGACAGGAGGATTACTTGAGCCTAAGAGTTCAATACCAGCCTGGTCAACATACTGAGACCCCATCTCTACAAAAAAGTTTTTTTTTTACTTAGCAGGCTGGCACATGCTTATAGTCTCAGCTACTTGGGTAGCTGAAGTAGGAGGATCACCTGAGCCCAGGAGGTCAAGGCTGTAGTGAGCTGTGATCATACCACTACCCTCCAGTCCGGGAGACAGAGACCCTGTCTTTCCCCCAAAAAAGGGGTGGGTAGGTTTTGTTTTAAATCCAATTCTAAGTATTCTCATCTGGGTGCTTTCTGGAATTGTCAATAGTCAAATTCTATTGCATTTTTTCCAGGCTATAAAGAAACAGCCTGTTTACATAGGGACAAAGTAGGTGAGAGGCAGAAAATCAAGGCTAGAAATCTGCAATTTTATTCTCAGCCTCAATATCAATTTGCTTCCCTCCACTCGATTCACCTTCTCCAACAGGAAAAGAGACATAAGTGAAATGTACTATAGCTTTTTACTACAAGAAAAGAAGATTTAAAGAATTGTTTGTTTGTTTGTTTGTTTTAAAGGCCTGGAGCAGTGGCACAGTGGTGTGTGCCTGTAGTCCCAGCTATTTGGGAAGCTGAGGTGAAAGGATCTCTTGAGCCTAGGAGTTCGAGGTTGCAGCGAGCCATAATTGTGCTACTGCCTGGATGACAGGGCACAACTCTGTCTCAAAAACAGAAAAAGAGGCTGGGTGCAGTGGCTCATGTCTGCAATCCCAGCACTTTGGGTGGCCAAGGTAGGTGGATCATGAGGTCAGGAGATGGAGACCATCCTGGCCAACATGGTGAAACCCTATCGATACTAAAAATACAAAAATTAGCTGGGCATAGCGGTGCATGCCAGTAATTCCAGCTACTAGGGAGGCTGAGGTAGGAGAATCACTTAAACCTGGGGGGCGGGGGAGGGGGGAGGGCGGAAGTTGCAGTGAGCCGAGATCACATCACTGCACTCCAGCCTGGTCAAAGAGCTAGACTCCGTCTTAAAAAAGAAAAGAATGCATATATATATGCATTTTATTTATTTCTTAAGACAGTCTTGTTCTCTTGCCCAGGCTGGAGTGCAGTGGCATGATCTAGGCATGCAATTTTTAGTAGAGATGGGGGGTGGTTCACTGTGTTGGTCAGACTAGTCATGAACTCCTGACCTCAGGTGATCCACCTGCCTCGGCCTCCCAACATGTTGAGATTATAGGAATGAGCCACCATGCCCGGCCTACATATGTATTTTTAAATCCCATTTCTACATAAATGAACCTTAAAGAATGACAGTCATTACTGAAAGAGTTTGGATAATTTCCAGGCGTCAGAAAGGGAAAATACAAACCACTATGTTTATTCAAAGTGTTCCTAGTTCAATTAACAAATATTTCATAAAGCCAGGTGTGGTGTCACACACATATAATCCCGGATACTTGGGAGGCTGTTGTGAGAGGCTCACTTGATCCCACAAATTCGAGGCTGAAGTGCACTATGATTGCACCTATGAATAGCCACTACATTCCAGTCTAGACAACATAGTAAGAGCCAGTCTTTTTTAAAAATAGTAAAAAAAAAGCCTCTGGATGTGGTAGCTCACGCCTGTAACCTCAGCACTTTAGGAGGACGAGGTGGGTGGATCACTTGAGGCTAGGAGTTTAGGACCACCCTGACCAACATGGCAAAACCCCATCTCTACTAAAAATACAAAAATTAGCCAGGTATGGTGGTGCATGCATGTAATCCCAGCTACTCAGGTGGCTAAGGCATGAGAATTGCTCGAACCTAGGAGGTGGTAGTTGCACCACTGCACTCCGGAGCAAGACCATGGCTTGAAAAAAAAAAAAAGAAAAAAAGTAAGAAAAAATCTCAAAATAATTTTTTCCTGCTGGGAGCCAAAAAAAAAAAAAAAAAAAACCCAAAACCCAAAAACAAACATTTTTTAAATCTTAAAAGTTAGAAGGTTGTAGGTATATGGCAAAAAAACCTTTTTTTTATAAGTAAATATTCAGTGAGTGCCTCCTATGTGCCTAAAACCAGGATAGTCCACTGAGGATATAACAGTGAACTTGATATATACAGCTCCTCTGCTCACAGAACTTCTAATGTAAAGGGGGCCTCACAAACACATGAATTAAAAAAAAAAAAAAAAACACAAATTGGGACCATGCTACATATCTAACAAAGATCTGCTAAACTAAGGATTACAGGGAAATCAAAGAGGAAAGTTTTATTGTATTCATACTTAGAGATGTGTTCTTGCTATACAGCCCAGGCTGGAGTGCAGTGGCTGTTGACAGATGAGATAATGGTGCAATGTGGCCTTGAACACGTGGGCTAAAGAGATTCTCCCATCTCAGCCTCCTGAGAAACTGGGATTACAGGCATGTATCACCACGCACAGCACGGAAGAGTTTTAGATAGAGGGGTGGGAAGCCTTTTATTAAAAGATGTTTATTTAAAAAAAATTTTTTAATTGTACATTGACAATTTATAATCATATAAATGTATGGGTTACAAAGTAGTGTTATAATTTATGGATACATATAGCTAATTAACATACCCATTACCTTAAATACTTAACATTTCTGTGGTAAGAATATTTGAAATTTATTCTCTTTAGCAATTTTGAAATATATAAAAGTTATCTTCACCATACTGTACAATAGAAGTAAAAAACAATAATGTCCCTGCTGAGATTTTGTACCCTTTAACCATCACCTCACCATTTCCTCAACACTCCAACCTCTATAACTACCATTCTATTTTCTGCTTCTATGAGTTCAATTGTTTTAGATTCCACATATAACTGAGAACACGTGGCATTTGTCTTTCGGTGGCTGGCTTACATTACTTAGCAAAATGTTCTCCAATTCCATCCAAGTTGCCACAAATGACATAATTTCTTCTTTTTTTAAGGCTGAGTAGTGTGAGAGTATGTGTGCATGTGTGTATACATTTTCTTTATTCATTCATGTGTTGAACACTTAGGCTGGTTCCATAACTTGGCTATTGTGAATAATGCTTGCAAGGAATATAAGAAAGCAGATAACTCTTCGACACACTGATTTCATATCTTTTGGGTAAATACCCAGAAGAGGGATTGCTGGATCTTAGCAAAATAGAATTGTAGTAATTCTATTTTTAGTTTTTTGACAAACCTCCATACAGTTTTCCATAACGGTGATACTAACTTACATTCTCACTCTGTCAGGTGGCAATTATAAAAAAGACTAAAGATAACAAGTGTTGGTGTGGATGAGAAGAAATGGGTGACATTGGAAACAAAAGCCAAAGTAGACACATGGACTTAATCAAACTCCACAGCTTCTGCATGGCAAAAGAAAGTCATTAGAGTGAATCGGCAACCAACAGAATGGGAAAAAAATTTTGCAGTCTACCCATCTGACAAAGGGCTGATATCCAGAATTTACAAAGAACTAAAACAGATTTACAAGAAAAACACAAACAAGCCCATTCAAAAGTGGGCAAAGGGTATGAACAGACACTTTACAAAAGAAGACATACATGAGGCCAACAAACATGAAAAAATGCTCTCATCACTGGTCATTACAGAAATGCAAATCAAAACTATATTGAGATACCATCTCACACCAGTTAGAATGGCGATCATTAAAAAATCTGAAGACAACAGATGCTGGAGAGGATGTGGAGAAATAGGAACACTTTTACACTATTGGTGGGAGTGTCAATTAGTTCAACCATTGTGGAAGACAGTGTGGTGATTCCTCAAGGACCTAGAAATAGAAATTCCATTTGACCCAGCAATCCCATTACTGGGTATATATCCAAAGGATTACATATCGTTCTACTATAAGGACACATGCACATGAATGTTCACTGCAGCACAGTTTACAATAGCAAAGACCTGGAACCAACCCAAATGCCCATCGATGATAGACTGGACAGGGAAAATGTGGCACATATACACCATGGAATATTATGCAGCCATAAAAAAAGACGAGTTCGTGTCCTTTGTAGGGACATGGATGAACCTG